TCAGAGCAGGAGTTAGTGGAGAACATTATCAGAATCTCAATGTGCCGGTTACTGGAAGTGGGCCCTAGGCATCTCCCAAAGCTCCTGGTATTGTAGTGGGCAACTAAACTAAGAAACTTTGCATTAGGGTTGAAATGTAATCAGCTAACTTAGCAAAGGGCAAGATGTCAGTTGATGGAGATGAACATTTCCCAGGATGTGTGGGAGGACCTGCCATCATTGGCTGTCCTTCTGAGAGTCATCTGTAAAAAAAAAAAAAAAAGCAAAACAGAAACACAACAACAAAAACTCTTTATTGATGTATAATCAGTGCCTATTAATTCACATACTATGACTACAGTTTGGTGAGTTGTAAACATACCATTGTGAAATCATCAGCACAACACCACTTCAAATACTTTTGTAAGCCACCAAAAATCCCTTTATACCCATTTGCAGTCCCATTGGAAGTTGTCTCTTTACCGTCTCCCAGCCTTTGTTCTCCAGGGTCCTCCCAAGTCTATCTCATAGCCCTATTGAGCACAAAGAATGTCATAGTGGCCAAGAAGCCCCAACCTCAGCATCAAGCATCCCCAGGCCATCACTGTGAATCCTTCCTGTTAGCTGGTCAATAAATAGATAGACCCAATGGGCAGACCCACATCCTAGCAGCAGCCACCTCCCCAGCCACCCATGTACTGTTAGAGCTAGACCACAAAGGACAAAGAACATGGATATGCAATCAGAGGACCTGACCTTTATGGGAGCCCCAGTTCAACTCCTTACCAAGTAAGATCTTGCCTACTCCTTGAGACCTACCTAGTGCTTTAGTCTGTGATATGGCCACTATGCAAAACCCTAGATGAGGAGTAGGGTACAAGAAAGCTACTAAAGTCAGGGCCAGACTTAAGTTACAGTGGAGGGGCATGGCTGTGGAATGTGGGTAGAATGATTAGTGTATTAATCAGATTCTCTAGAGTAACACAACTTATGGAATGAATCTCTCTCTCTCTCTGTGTGTGTGTGTGTGTGTGTGTGTGTGTGTGTGTGTGTGTGTGATTGAGAGAGAGAACTTGTTATTAGAATGACTTACGGGCTGTGGTCCAGCCAATACAACAATGACTATGAATGGAAGATCCAAAAACTTAGTAGTTGTTCAGTCCATGGGGCTGGATATCTCAGCTAGTCTTCAGTATATACCAGAATCCTGAGGAAGTAGGCTCTAATGCCATTGAAGGAATTGAGTTGTTAGCAAAGTTGAAAGCAGGCAAGCAAAGAGTAAAATTGTCTTTCTTCCATGTCCTTATATAGGCTTCCAGAAGAAGGTGTGGCCCTTATTGGAGGCGGGTCTTCTGTATTCAAAGTATATCTTCCCACCTCAGAGATCCATATTAAAGGTGTGTCTTCTCACCTCAAAGATCCACATTAGAAATGGATCTTTTTGCTTCGAATTAAGCAAAAATCCCTCACAAATGTGCCCCATTGGGGAAGGGTTAGTTAATTCCAGTGTAATCAAGTTGACAACCAAAAACAGTCATCATAGTTGAGGAAGGATAAGAGTTATAAGATGGGCACTTATCAAAGCATGAAATTCTTCTCAAGAGCTCAGAATAGCATCGCAACGTGGGGTAGTTGGAAAGAAACATCATTAAATACAGCCTAAAAATTTCTGAAACACCCAAGCCACTGCAATAAGTAGTTCTGGTATCCTGTGGATTCTTGGAATAGTGACATTAATTCCCCATTTGACTTAGGGTCTCCAGCATCATGGTCCTCCAGGGAGTTCTCTCATCTACAGGAAGCCTGGCTGATGTTACCTGCCCCATCAATTCAGAACCAGATATGCCCAGGGCCACATGGTAGGGGTCCTATGTGAATCCAGCCTGGCTCGTCCCTCCTCCTACTCAGGAGAACTAGGGAGAAACCCCCCTTAGAATTCCAGGCCCATTTGCATTGTGGGAAGCAAAGCAGACACAAGAGGCAGACATGGTGCTCCTGTGTTCAATCTCCCCAGGCCTCCTGTGACCAGAGGAAAGAAGTTTCCAGCCACTTAGGGACATCAGTTAACCCTGAACCCTAGACACATAGGCTGCCCCTCACATTCTCAGTATGTTTTCTCTCAGACCAGTGGCACCCCAACTTCTGCCCCTACCTAACCCACAGAAAGTAGGCATAGCTCTGTGGATTGTCAGTGTAAACACAGCCCCCCATTCTGAAATCAGCCTTCCCTCCTCCTGAGTGATAATCCACTGCTCCACAGTCCTGGCTCCCCAGTGCAGAGGTGGCAAGCCAGGTGACCCACCAAGAGCCCAGAGTGTAAGAGAAAGGCACACATGTGCACTGCAGTTCCATGAGACTTCAGCAGCCTAGGAGAGAAATCATTACACAGGTGACCTCATGTATAGTCCAGAGACCAGAGCAAGAGAGCTACAGAGTCTTGATGGGGGGATGCACTATGAGACAGCCTAGGGCCTTGGAGGGCAGCTGTGGCCATTCATACTGGGAAGGCTGTTGCAATGAGGAAAGGCGAAGCTGGGGGAGTACAACCAGGGGAAGGTCTTGCAGAGAATCCACTGTGGAATTTGGACGGCAGAGAGAGAGGCTTCTGAGAGGGAGTTGGAGGACAATGGTCGACCATGGACCATCACCATAGGAACTTCAGCAGTATGGAGAAGAAAGGGCAGGTCTGCACTGTGTCCACAGACTTGCTCCATGCTGATTTTCAATTGCGTTGGGGCCGCAGTTACCAGAGTCACTGTGCTGTTCTCTTTGTCACTCCATCTGAATCCCTGTTAGAAAATCCAATTGCTAGGAATTTTCTAGGTTCAGACAAGATAAAATAGGAAGTGGCACAAGGAAGAGGGTCTCCAAGTGACAGACTTACAGAACAGCCATGGTTGTCCAAAGGAACCACCCAGCTACTGCTGTGGCCTGGCTGAGACCATCTGGGCTCACAGCCTCCTATCTCAAGGTCCAAAGTGACATTCATATCACACCAGACAGATAGTGCTGTTGGAGGGGTTGATTGTGGGGGGTCCCCAAAATACCTTTTATTTGATCAAATCTTACAAATATGACTTGCTTTGCTGTAATTACAGGGGTTTTTAGGCATCTGTGACTTCATCTGATCCAGAAGTTAATGCTTCCTCCAAACAAAGAAACAAGGAAGTCCTCCAGAGTTGACTCTGGAATCTTCCAATTTCCTTAGTTGAGCTGCAGAAGGAGCCATTGTGGGTAAAGGGGTTTCTTGGGCTTCTAGGAAGCCTTTCTCTCCTCACCAACTAAAATCACAAAGAACAGTCTTACCCTTAAACAATAAGTAAACGCCTTGGTCTGGTGGCCTTTCACTTCCAGCATGAATTTCATTGGCTCACTTATGAATACAATCGTTAGCATAGCTGTGCTGTGGTGCCATCAGAAACAGCACTGGCCTTCTCTTCAATGGGAGTGGCAAGCGGGAGCCTATGGGATGTGTTCCCATGGAGGTTTTTGTTTAGAGACAGAAAATCATTGTCTGTGCCTGGTTTAAAGATGCATTGGCCCAGCCCAGTGGTCAGAAATTCTGCCTTTGGAACAGAAACCTGCCAGGCACAAACAGATCCTTAACTACAAATAAAGAAGTAGGTACCACTTGGAGTGAGCTCCAGATCCATAAAGCACAAGGGTTCTCATTTGTAGAGAATTTTCTAGGTTCTCTTGAAATGAGGTCCATCAGTGAGAAGTGACTTTCTCGAAGACACAGATAACTAACAACAGAACCATCCAAGTTATATGCCTCCATCCTCTGGGCATGGGTCCTCATCCAGAGTACAGACGGCCCCTTCTTTGCTCTGGTTCTAGCTAAGATACACAGAGACACACAGTACCCCACTCACCTGGGATGCCTCATCTAATGCCCTGCTCTCTATACTTCTCTGTGGTTTCTCCCATAACTCTTTAACAGAGTCCCAAAGGCAGGAAACACTGACTCCCTACTCTAGATGGATAATAAGACTGGGTGACAGATCTTTGGAAGAAATGTGTAGACAGAATTCAGCCTCTCAGCCAAGAGCCCCTGGCTCTGTAGAGAACTTACAAGTTACACACTTGGTCAGGGAAGGTCAGCTGCCTCAGAGAATGGGTTTCTGGGAACACTGATAAGAAAGAAGTCTATCTATACAATATGCGTGTGGAGTAGACTAATGGAAACTGTCTATAAGGCAGTGGGTACTATGGAAACTAACATGCTTTAAGAGGGGTCAAGGCCAAACCTGGACATATCCATGCATGTTGTTGGTGGCTTTTTCATACTTTAACTACAGTGTAGTTGCATAGTCATAATTGAAGCCATGTGGTTGCAAATCCAAAAGTATTTACCACCCAGCCCATTGCAAAAAAATTGCTAACCCTGCTTCAGTTGTTAATGGGTCTACATTCAAGACATGGTACTGCCCCTTCCCATATGGGTAACCTTGGGGTACCAGGTTTTATCTTGGTGCCCCAGACCTTATAGACTCATGTACAGGAAATCACCAATTCAAGGTATAGTTCAGGTACTTAATCAGCGGCAGTTGTCAATCTCCTGAGAGAAAGCCTAGGATCTGTGACTGGCTCTTAGCGTGGCAGGTGGTGGGCTGCTGGGCAGAATAGAATTTCTTTCTTCTTGGAAAGCATTCAAAAACACATTTCTTCATTGTTTTGGTATGTGCTTGTTTATAATTATAATTTTAGTGGATGCGTATGTATGTATGTGCACGTTTGTGCATATATGTGCACGTTTGTGCATTTGTGAAAGAGTACATGCATGCATGCATTTGCCAGGTTACCATGCCTGGCCTTCACATGGGTGCTGAGGAATCCAAACAGGTTCTCATGCTTGCAAGGCAGGCATCTCACCAACTGAGCCATCTTCCCAGAATTTACTGTTTCTCTTTCAACTTTTTTTTTTCTTATCCAGATATTGGCTGACCAACAAAGTCCACATAAAAAGACCAACAACTGGCCTCTTGATGTATACCCTAGCCACACGTTTCTGCAATCAGATCTACCTTTATGGCTTCTGGCCCTTTCCACTGGATCAGAATCAGAACCCTGTCAAATATCACTATTATGACAGCCTCAAGTATGGCTACACCTCCCAGGCCAGCCCCCACACCATGCCCTTGGAATTCAAGGCCCTCAAGAGCCTGCATGAACAGGGGGCATTGAAACTGACTGTCGGCCAGTGTGATGGGGCTACGTAAGGATGGCAGCCCATGAGACTCAAGTGGCTCACTTTCCTGCCAGCTACACCAGAGGCAGATGGGGAGTCGGGGTGGCACAAACAATAGAACAAGCAGGCTAGTGGTTTTCTTTGTTAAAGTGTAAAACAGTGACCAGAATATATATATCTATACCTGCATATATATATTGACCTGAGTATTTATAACTGTGTGGTGTTCATCTAGCATTAGGCAGATAAGCCACAGGAAGAAGATGTGGAGAATCCACCTGGACCAGATGGTGACTCAGTCCATCTTTGGGGGCAGAAGGACTTGACATGCAAAGAAGCCAGTCCCATGACTTTGGATGACAACCGCCTCCTGGGTTGGATGGATCTCTGGGCTTATGGATGAATGGAGAGCCACCTGTTGTCAGCTTTCCCAAACCTCTGAGTGATGTGGATACTGGGTAGCCCAGACCCAGAAAGGACAGTTTGAACCAGTCTAAAGAGGTACAGCTCATAGAGGAAAGACTTGAAGTGTTCCACTGGGCAATGAGGCACAAGGAGACCAAACATCAGAGGTCACAACAGAGCTGAGGGCCTTGTTCATGAACTTGAAAGTGCAACTGCCCAAAGTACAAGCATGGGCAGCACCTGTGTCCCAGATAGGCATTCCCAGGTATGGAGAGAGGCTAGAGAAAACTCAGTGGACAGCCCCATATTCTGACTAGACAAAGACCACCCAGGACTTAGTAGGGTAGAGCAGCAGATGGTCCTAAAGAGGGAGAGGTTTTCTAAATCATGGTTTTAGAAACTTGAGACCTTCCAGGGGTTTGCTCTGCCTCAGAAAAGGACTAAAGGGGTGTGCAAATATGGTCATTTTGTTGGGTGTGCTCTAAAGCAACTGAGAAAGAAGTGACCCTGGAACTTCAACTTGCAGGTTAGCCTTCATCCCATCCTCTAAGAACATCACATGAGGGAACTCAACTGTCCTGTCTACCACCAGAAAGACACAGCGATGCTTGGAAGGGCACAGTCACAACAGGCATCATCCCATCACCTTTCTAGGCCCCTCACAGAGCCCCAGACCTGGACATCTGGAAGACTGCCACGGCCCTGGCTCTGGGTCTCTACAGTCACTCTCTGTTTGCTTTCCTCATCCTGAACTCTGAGGGTCCCCTGCAGCCAGACCGCTGTGTCAGTGTCACCTTCTTGTCACTTTCCCATCTTGACAGTCATACCTGCCCACACCAAGCTCTACCATGGAGATTGTCAACTGTTCTGGGAGAGGTTCCTATGTCCACACTACACACCTGCCCACCCTCCCCCCCCCCACACACACACACAAGCAACAACTGCAGCATTTTTGCAAAATCCTTTCCCTGTCTATTATGATTCACACTTAAGACTTGTTTTTATTGTCAAAGCCCAAAGCCAAACACAGTTCCTAACACTAGACATAATCTCCAGGGGAAATCTGGGCTCACTGCCAGTAACTTAGGGGTAGGACTTACAGGTCACACACAGCAAACCCTTATCCAGCTTGATTTGTTAGATGCAGTCCCTTGCCTGATAAATAATGGTTTTTAAAAGCATATTTGAAAGATAAGAAAAAAACTATTATCTTGAAGGTGAAGAGAGTTAAGAAATGTAATCAAGATCTGCTCCCAAGCACATGAGGTCTGACGTAATTAATCAGCAGCCATTCAGAACACAACATTTGCTCTAAATTAATGGTTGACAGGAAATGAGCAGTAAGATGGAGGGACACCCTAGAGTGCATTAGCCCCATGCACAGCCCCTCCAGCCCCAAACCAGAAGGAGGATTGTACATCTCCGTATTTCTCTCTTCATTCTTGTTGCAGTATGAAGCGTGTGGTTTGGGATTTGCATCATAAAATGAATATTTAAAAAAGCAACAGCCCTAACAGCCTCCCTGGGAACTGAGTGTTTCAGCCTCCTCATGAGTGGTGGAAATAATTAGTACCATATTTTACATGTCTCCAGAGCCTTTCATCTTAAGGATCTCAAAGGCTCTAGAAGACATTTAATTTCTAAAGTTTGCAGCACCCTGGAGGGATAGGTAAAATCACCATCAGGACCTTGCATTTTAAAGCCCTTGGAGGTCAGAACATCCCTTATGGAATCATGAAGACAACCCAGAGGTCAGGTTCTGGAGGTGACCCTGAGCTCCACCCAGCACCCCTCTCCCTGCAGAGAAGTTAGAAGGCCCCTTATCTAACAGGACTTAAGCAGGCTATAACCCCAGGACTACCTGTATATGCCCTTTCCATAACTCAGTTGGGCCTAGGCTATCAAAATGATCTGGACATATAACAGCAAGAACTCTATGGGCCTTAGCACTCACTCTCCTTGTTCTTCTCCAACCAAACTCACAGTCAACAGCCAAGTGTCCTTGACTTCCTACTGAGAACTCACTTGGGCCTGGGTTCCATTGAAGTCTTTAACATAGGCTGGTTGACGTTGGCTGGCCCCCAGAAGGCACAGATTGCACTCTTAACATGATTGTTGCCACTACAGTCAATCATAGCATCCCATCAGCCTCAGTCAGTCCCCTCTACGTTTGGCTATCAGCCACCTCCTCAGTACACCCACCTAAGCCTGCCAGACCTCCATTTACTTTGATCTCCTGGTGACTTCATCCTTAGTCTTTGCCTTCACCAAAAAAACCTAGGCGTTTGACATGAGACCTTTCCTCAGAACCTCTTGGCCTTTGCCTCCCACTTAACCTTCATTCTCCCATTTCTGAGGGAGTGAGGTCCCTCCTCTGGCCAGGGAGTTTGTCCTCTCATACCCTCAGTCTCTTCACTGGCCCTCTTGTGTTCACCCTGATTCCCATAGCCTCTTCACTTAATCCCTCCATTACCAGTCCTTGGCAGGGTCTCCAGTCCCTATTGCCACCAATTCCCCTGACCACACCTTACTGTCCCCTCATAGCCTACCCTCAGGACCAGCATCTCAGTGCCCTCCATGCACTTTCTCAAAGGACCTCCCTCACTGCAGAACTTGACAATGAATTCTCCTAGGAGAGAGACTCTGTTCTTAAGATTTTACCCCTGCCATCCCAGCCTCCATGACCATTTGTTTATATACTTATTTATGTATTTATGAGTATTTATTGGCACTCCTACCTTGAGCTGAAAAGGGAGCTAAGGAAGATCTGCCCATTTTTCCCTCGCTTCTCCCTGTACCACAGAGTAGCCATTCCTTCCTATAAGACCCTCTCCACAGGCCCATCAGCAGTTCCATGTGCTCCTACAGACCTAGCTACCACCACCCAAAGAACAGCTGCCCCTCCCCATAGCTGCTTAGCCCCACTGGATGCTCCCTCCCCAGGATTAACACGCTGTGTGTCATGCATACTGTTCTGACACCTTGAACTCAACACATCTGAAGCTAAGCAGACCATCTGTCTTCCCCGCATGCTCCCTTATCTTCCCATTGTGACACCAGTGATTCTTTCAACATAGTCTGGGACCCTACGATGACCACTGACTCTTCCATGCATTCCCTCATCACTCTTTCCATCTAGTCCCAACCTCGCCACTACTTGTCCCCTCAGACCCTCCCCCTTCATAGTGGTCTCCTCTCCCAGACCTCCCCGAGCATGCACAATGGTCTGTACCTCCAGTTCTTCAAAATCTTTGATAAGATCCCCTGGCCCACAAAAAGAAAAAAGAAAAAAGAAAAAAAAAAGGGCCCGTCTTTATCCTACTATTACAGCACCCAATCAGGTCCCTTCATACCCTGCACTGGCCAATCCAGAAGAGTTGTCATTACTGGAAAAGGTGCCATGCTTCCTGGCTCTATGCCCTTGGCCTTATAGTCTTCATCTTCTGGATCACTCTTGAGTTCTTCCAAGACCCATGCAGAGACTACATCCTCCACGAAGCCCTCCATGATCCACCAATGCTGGGATCTCTCCCTCCACGGAACCACCACAGCACTTTATTTGTACCTTTCTCATGGCACTTACCACATTCTGCCTTGTATTATAGCTACTTGTGCACTTGTCCTATGTCTGTTCCTAGACTGTAAGCTTGCTAAGGGCAGGCACTGTTTTATTCATCTGTATCCATCACAGCACTAGCGTGGTGCATAGCACATAAGAGTTGCTCAATAAATGTTTGTTGGATTAAATGCTGGTTGTCTACAGAGGCCTTTATAGTGAACAAAGCCATTTTGCATCTATCATGTCACAAAGAACCTTCCAAAAAGTCATGTGGGTTGGATCCAAGAAGAATAAATAGGTCATTAAACTGAAACAAAGGCCTGCATGGAATTTTCACCAACGTTCCACCCTCGCTCTAGGGATTTTTCTATAAATCCATGTGGTTGGAGCATTCGTTGTAAAGCTAAAAATCGACTTTAGCTAGATGTGAGCTTGGCTGCCCCAGGTCACTATTACATCTTCCTAGGGTGAACCTTAGTATGAACTCCAGCACATGTGCAAATTTCACTGTTTCTGGGAAGGACAGACACCATTTGGGTTTTCTCAGACCCCAGAGGGTAGAGCTGTGGGACCTCATTCATCATTCCTACTGCTGTTGTTGCAGAGTGGGAAACCATCCATCCAGATGGCAGAGAAACCAATGGCTCCAGAGGCTGCTGTTTGATAAATCTCTTCATGCCTAATTAAGGCTTTCCTTCCAGGATGGAGCAGAGACGTTTATTGATGCCAGTCAGATGGTACTCCAGACATGAATTCTGTCTCATAAATGCCCTCAACAGCATCTCCAATGACACCGACAGCCCATTCCCACCTGCCATCTTTCACCAGCCCTCTGGATGTCGTCTTTGCCATCTTCATCCCCATGCTTTGCCCTCCCTTCTCCTGCTATTTTTCTCAGTTGTATAGGTCTATTTCATGAATGTGGAAGGAGTCACCCTCTGAGGGCATAGCTAATGCCTCTGTCACTGGTGTGACCATTCCCTGAGTATCAGCTCTTACTCTTGGGTACCTGAACCCTAACCCAGGTATTGTGAGATAGCAGTGAGGAAATGAGGAGGCAAAGCACT